CAGTGTCACAAACCTCTGTCCATAGTTCTTCAGGCACTCTTGTCTATCAGATCTAATTCCTTGAATCTACTTGTCGCTTCTACTGTATAATTGTTAGAGATTTGGTTTAGGTCATACCTGGATGGTCTAGTGGTTTTCCCTACTTTCTTCAATTTAAGTCTGAATTTAGCAATCAAGAGTTCATGATCTGAGCCACAGTCAGCTCCCAGTCTTGTTTTTGCTGACTGTATAGAGATTCTCCATCTTTGGGTGCAAAGAATATAATCAGTGTGATATTGGTATTGACTGTCTGGTGATGTCCATGTGTAGAGTCTAGTCTCATGTGCTCTTGGGAGAGTCCTTGCTCTGACCAGTGCATTCTCTTGGCAAAACTCTGTTAGTTCTTCCCTGCTTCATTTTTTACTCCAAGACCAAACTTGCCTGTTACTCCAGGTATCTCTTGACTTCCTACATTTTCATTCCAGTCCCCTATAATAAAGAGGACATCTTTTTGGGGTGTTAGTTCTAGAAGGTCTTATAGGTCTTCATAGAGCCATTCAGCTTCAGCTTCTTCAGCATTACTGGTTGGGCCACAGACTTGGATTACTGTGTCATTGAATGGTTTGAATTCTGTTCTGTCGTTTTTGAGTTTACACCCAAGTACAGCATTTTGGACTCTCTTGTTGACTGGGAGGGCTACTCCATTTCTTCTAAGGGATTCTTTCCCACAGTAGTAGATATAATGGTCATCTGAGTTAAATTCACCCATTCCAGTCCATTTTAGTTCACTGATTCCTAAAATGTCAATGTTCACTCTTGCCATCTCCTGTTTGACCACTTTCAATTTACCTTTAGTCATGGACCTGACATTCCAGGTTCCTGTGCAATATTGCTCTTTACAGCATCAGACTTTACTTCCATCACCGGTCACATCCACAACTGGGTTCTCTGTTTTTGTTTGTTTTTGTTTTTTTTTTTGCTTTGGCTCCGTCTCTTCATTCTTTCTGGTGTTATTTCTCCACTCTTCTCCAGTAGCAGTGATGGGCACCTGCTGACCTGGGGCGTTCATCCTTCAGTGTCATGTCTTTTTGCCTTTTCATACTGTTCATCCATTAGCAGATATTTTTTTGTCTTTGACGATTATGGTTTTCCTAGAAGATAACAGATTATGAGAAAAGGAGAAGCCTGTGTCTGGTGTAGGGAGGAAAGTCCATAAGCTTGCAGGGCCAAAACTACATTGTCTGACACCATGGAAAAGAGGTCTTAGACCCTCAAGAAGAGTACAGTGCAGAGATGAGAGCCCTTTGAATGAGATAGAAAATGAATAGGACCATATGGCAGTGTGCATCTTCACATACCTGAACAGGGCTTCTTCATCTTCCCCCAGCCAAGAATGTCAGTCTTTTCCATTGAACTGGAATACTCAATCTTGCTATTGGATATTCAGTCTTGCATTGACAAATATTGCTGTACTTCAAGACAAACTTATTCTGCCTTTTCATCCATCATCCTGTAATCAGAATAGCAGATAGTGGTGCCCCCCAGAACGGGAACCCAGCTGCTGAGGGGACAGGTTAAGACAAATGCTATTTATGCTTCATGTACAACACCTTAGTTGTGTGGAAGTGGGTGAAGCCAGTTTCTGGCTTTCCCGGTCTGACATTATCCCCATTTCCATGCCCCGAGATGCACGTTGTCACTTGTCTGCCCCCATCTTAATCAGTGTGGCCCAGGAAATGATTCTGATCTCAGCTCCCTCCACCTCCTGCCCACATGGATGTTCTAGAGCCAGCTGTAAGGCATCTGAACCTCTGTCAAAAGTAAGACATGAAAACATTTCAGTAACAAAGACCAGAAGCTGCCTACTCTGCTCAATCCTTATCACAAACTGGACACTCAAAACTACTTGCTGAGTGAATGAACAAATGAATAAATGCATGATAAACAAATGATTAAGCAATATTAAGACACATTGTGATTCTAATGATTTAAAAGTAATTTGACAGACGTCAGCTTATGATTTAGTAAAAACTCTCCAAGAAACAAACGATGAATAAAATGACTGACATGTGTCTTTCTCTTTCAATTCCCGCAGCTGTACGGGGCCAGGTCTCAAAGGCTGTGCGGCAGATGGGTAAGTGCGACACTTCGTGCTTGGTGGCCTGACCAGAAACAGCCGATAGTTCTGTGGGCAGGGTAATGCTTTCTCTCTCTCAGTGCTTTCTCCGACTCCCCTCTGCCCTGGCAGGTTCTCACTTTTCCCCAGGCCAAACTGGGCATTCCTAGCAGAACCCACCCTGCCTGCATTACCGGCTGTGTCCCAGGGATGGGAGAGTGACACAGGGCATCAGTGCCAGGCCTCTTCCACATAGAGCCAGCCTCACCACCTGGTCCTTCTCTATCTATACAACCCGTCATTGCTCCACGGGTCACAGTATTATTGGATGATGCTTCTCTTCCAGCTTCTCTTCTCTTTCCTCGCTGACCCAGTTGACCCTCAGCTTGTGGGGCTTTGATGACAGAGCTCCAACTGTGGGGATTTCTCCCCTTACTTCCTTTTCTAAACACATGACTTCCTTCAGCATTTCAGTTGTGATCTGTTTGCCGTCATTGCCTGAAATGCTACCCAGAGAAAAGCAGAATTGAGACTTTCTCTTCAGACTCATCAGGGAAGAATGATATTATCAATTAATAATATCTGTCATGGAATCAGAATTATACATAAGACACCCACCAGATACCCCCAAACACTAGCCAAATATCCAGGCACCTCTGCCATCTCTACTAATGTTTACAAAAGTCCTCCCCTCAACAACTTTGCTCAGCGTCAGTCAGCTCAGTCTCTTGCCCAAGAATTAGCCAAGATAACCAATCCCTTCTACTATAAGTGAAACATTAAAGACAAATAGGGAAGTTTCTCAAAGACAAAGGTTGCCTTTTATGCCCCTCTTCACTTGAGCCATGAGGACACCAGCAAGCTTCATCCTCTCTTCACGCTGCAGTCAGTATCTTAGCAATGAGGTTTTCCATCATATCCCCACCCTGAAACCAATCAATGACCTTTGTTATATTCATTCTTTCAATTTATCCTTCTCTTTTCTCTCACTTACCCTTACTATCCATGGAACATATACTCTGTACAAATTATTCCGTTTACCTTTCAATGTCCCCTTCAAAATAGTAAAAACCCATTAATTCAAACTACATTAATTAGGAGAATAGTGTAACTAAAGACATGACTTTTGTATGTGCTGAGAAGAATGTGTTCTAAGGACTATTCACAGAAAGTACATTTGACACTTAGGAGAAATCTGTAAGAATGCTGGCACATTTTGTGTGTGTAAATTGTGCTACTGATTATTCTTTGATATTCATTAAGTGCCTGAAAATACAAAGTCTGCCAGAAGCTCAGATGGCACAGGTACTTGAAAAACAGTAGCTTTATGAAGACTCTAAATTCAGGATCTACTCACTCAGACCATTCTTTCCCCACTGAGTTTTGGGTGTTTTCCCCTGGTGGGGGGGCGGGACTGCAGAATGACATCACTTACCTATGACAGCTCTGCTCTCCGTGTGGAAATCCCGTCCCTGCCTTACCCCTCCACACATCCATACAGCACTTCACATGCTTCTCATCCCATGTTACAAGTCCAGGATCCCTCAAGCAGTCCCCACAGTTTTGAAAGGGTCCCTCCGTCCAGCCTGGTCAGCAGACATCACATGGGGAGGGTGTGCTTCTAACGAGTGGAGGCACCCAGGAGAGGCACACAAATTCGTGTGGAAGGCATGAGTGACTGAGCTATTTTTTGAGTTATGTTCCCTTAATCAACAGACGACAACATACTCGTCATAGCAAGAAGTCCAAATGATACCCAGTTTAAAAATCCAAAAAGGTGGGGTGAGGAGTCTATTATACTGAAAACCTGCCCTGGGAGTATGAATCTGCCTCTCCTTCTCCTTGACAAGCTGTGCACTATTGCCCTGAGACAGTTCTAAATGATGTCATGGCATCCACACACATGGGGAATGCAGGGAATGCCGACGTGACAAACCGACCCCCGTGTGTGTCCGCCTTGTTCCAGGCCCAAGATCCCGTCCATCGCCACGGGCATCGTGGGCGGCCTGCTGCTCGTGCTCCTGCTGGCCCTGAGCGTCGGCCTCTTCATGCGCAGGCGCCACATCGTGCGCAAGCGCACCCTGCGCCGGCTGCTGCAGGAGCGAGAGGTGAGCTGGGCGACCCCCGGGCGGTGACTTGGAGATGAGATGGCACGCCTGTGCTGTATTTACTGTAATGAAAAAGCCAGGAGAATCTCTGAATGTCCAGTTATAAGCAAGTGCGTATACACGTTGGTGCTTGTATTCAGTGACATGCAGCTGTTTCCAGGGTAAGTCCTGCTGGCGGTTACCCAGCTGTGCTGCCGGCTGCCCAGCTGGCTCAGCTCTGTGGTCGGCGAGGGGGACGCCGGTGCCCAGAGGCCCGTGAGTTGCTGTGAGCGCAGCAGGTGTCACTTTGTAAAATGCCGCAGTTCCCACCACTGACTGCTCTTTTTTGAGCCATGTCTGTGACACCATGATTTCAGGAAAGGGTCTTCAGGTGGTATCCATGTCCATCCCTGGGTCAAAGCCGGAGCCCCCAGGAGGAGGGACCCACGGCAACTTGAGCAGCATGGCTGTGCAGGGCTCGGATGGGCTGCCAAAATGACCACCACACAAGCTTGCCCCCCCCCACCCCGGCCTGGGCACTTACTGTCCAGGAGCTGTTCTGTTCAAGGTCACCTGCTTTGGAGGACGTGGGAGTTGTCAGTCCCGGTTCTTTCATCGTCTCTCAGCAGGTTGCCTGGAACAGGTGTCCCCGTCTGGGGAGTGACCGGGCAAGTTCTCTGGGCCGGAGCATGAACGCGCCTCCTGCCACGTGGTGTCAGGGGCTGCCACCCTTGGGCCAGACAGGCAGGCATCAGCTCTTCTCCTTGTCTCTCACAGCTCGTGGAGCCTCTGACGCCCAGCGGAGAAGCTCCCAACCAAGCTCTCTTGAGGATCTTAAAGGAAACAGAATTCAAAAAGATCAAGGTGTTGGGCTCGGGAGCATTCGGCACCGTGTACAAGGTGAGCCTGAGGCTCATGGACTCGGGTCTGGGGGGCCCCGGCCTCTGCTGTGGTCCTCATCACAGTGGAGTGCTCTTTGTGTCAGTGGGGGTTTAGGAAATGCCAGTATTTTTCTTAGGTTGTCTAGAGGAGATCTTTTATAATCAGAGTGACAAGGAAGTGGTCCGCTTGGGCACAGATGATTTCATGGAGGACAGGGTGAGTTTTTAGAGGGTGGGTAGCATAAGTCAGTCTGAATGAGTGTGGCCTGGTCCCCTCAGGGCAGCATCCGAATAAAGCCCAACTCAAAACAGCTTCCTCTTCATTTATTTTTTCTGTGCCCTCTTTGCTTAGTCTGATCTCAGTTAGGCCTGGACCCAGAATTCTGTACAGGATGACTCACACTGACTCTGTAACTTACACTAGCTGAAGGGTTTTATCTAACTACTCTGATTCCTGGGACACGACAGCTAAAGAGCTGCTGAGCTGTCCTGACTCCCAGCCTGGGTGGCCTTGGGTGCAGAGCTGTGCCTCCTCACCCTTTGGGGTATGGCCAGTAATGATACCCAGCCAGGCCAGGAGCCACATCTTACGTGTGTGACAGCTGCCAGCCAGTGACCTCTCCTCTTTCTGTTACAGGGACTCTGGATCCCAGAAGGCGAGAAGGTTAAAATTCCGGTAGCTATCAAGGAGTTAAGAGAAGCCACATCTCCAAAAGCCAACAAGGAAATTCTTGATGTGAGTTTTTGTTTTGTTCTCTGGGCTATCTGCAGGCCTGGACATCAGAAGCTACCTCTTCTCATGGTTGGCAGCTCGTTTCTGTGTTTTAGACTTTCTCGTCACCACATTCTAAGTGGTCACTTTTCACTTTTGCTGTATTTGTTCCTTCCGGCTACACAGCTGGTATAATTCTCTCTCATAGAGATGACTCGCTCTTCTATTCTCTTAACACCCCGAAAGGCTGGGAACCTGTGGTCCCTGCGCGTCCGCACGGGCTGATGGCTCCCCCCGCCATCTCAGGGATGCCTCTGGCCGGCCTGTGGTGCTATAGGTGTTGTGTTCAGCATGCCTCGGGAGTGAAGCAGAAGCATGCGGCAGCCTGCTCGGGGTCACACATCTGGGTGGGTTTCCAGCACCTGGTTACTTCTGACTCTGAAATGCGTGTTCGTTTCCTTCCACCAAATATATCATCTTTGAAATGGCTTTTTAAAGGTGCCTAGGATTAACAGTATCATGCTCCATGAACTCTATAATCTGTTGCTCACCTTCTGTACTTTTTCTCAAAATAATTTAAATGTTATTTCTAGTGTCTACTGAGTGCTGTTTTATGGAGTCTTTGAAATACTCCATAAGGTTATTATTGTTATATGCTTCTACTTTAGATTCCGTTGAACTTTTCCTGTCTTCCTTTGGACCCTCACTAGCCAATGAGGGCTCTGCATGATCTTAGAAAGAGGCTGGAAGAAGGAGGGGCCAGCCTGGCATTGGCAGAACCTACTGCAGGTAGAAGCTCAGGAAGTTCTAGGGGATGCACCCTTGTGGGCCCGGGCTAACAGCACTGCCACCACTTGCTGTGGGTCGATGTGGGTTTTTCTTGCTCTTTTCCCAAAGCAGAGCCAGTAAAAGAAGAGGTGGAGGGGCTCAACAATGAGTTAGGAGAACAGTCAATGAAAAAGGAAAGTGACTGCCTTCACTGACTCAGAAATCTAGAGAACTTAGTTCATCTTGCAGCCAAGAAGGACAAAGGTCAAACGTAATATTTCCCCACTCATATCTAACTGACAGAATAATATGGTAAGCAAAGCAAACAGGCCTTTTTAAAAATGTGTTCAGACACTGAGCTTCCCAAGAGGAAATCCTCTCCATCTGCATTTCTCCAGGCAGGCTTCCCTCCTTTCATTTTGCAGCAGGGAAGTCCCACTGCACTATTTTCTTTGTGAAGGATGAATTATTAACGCAGTGCAACAGGAAATCTCACACATTGATGATATGCTTATCAAGCCAAGTTATCTTTCATTTTAGCAGTTTAAAATTAATGTGGAGTCTGTTAATATAATATCAGCTCCTATTTACGTAACCATAAGAAGCGTAACAAGCAGGCCATTTGTGAAGTCTCTTCACTTAAACCTCTAGCTCCTTCTCCTACACAGTTAAAAAGAAAATATTTTAGCAGAATTTGCTTCCTTAATTCACTTTTTACTCATTCAAGACATTCTAATAACTTTCACAAAATGTGAGTTTTGACAATATTCTCTGTGCAGAGTAAGGGCAGTTTTGAAGATAGTAGCAATACTTTGGGAAAGAAGTAGTTTCTCTGAAAAGGACACTCCAGGACCCCTAAAACTGGAGGAAATATGCTTTCATGGGGCAGGGGTAGGGTAGAAAATAGAGAAAGGGAAGACTTAGGAAAAGTGTTGAAAGCCCTATTTGCCTCTTGCTCTGTCTTTGGGCTCCTCTCCTTCTCTCCCTCTGGCCCACCCCTGCTTTCTTCTTTCTGCTCTGACACCTACCCTGTGGCTGTCCTGGGAGAGGACAGCAGCCTGAGGCCTTCTTCTGCTTGTCCTGAAGCTCCGTCTGCCCCACAGATACGGAGCCACCCTCGTAGGGTGGGTGCTGCCATGGCGAGCCCCTAAGGGATGGGAACACTAAAGCACAGGCCAGTTTCAACACTGCGTTAAAGGGCAAGTTAATGCTGCGACCAGGCTGCCTAGGGGGCTGAGTGCGGGCTTGGCTCACACGCACTTATAAGTGCCTCCAGCTTCCCAGCTTTCATTCCCCTGCCCAGGCCAGCACTAAGGTCCGGCACATGTTCCCTCTGCCCTGCTGCAGAGTGCCGTCCGTGGTGGCTTCGGTACTGGGAAGCTTCAGAAGTATTCTTAAAGCTGGGCGTATGCCTCTCCTGAAGGAGTTTAATGTTCAGTGAAATTCCTTTCCCCCAGTCCTTAACATAAACTAGTTCACAGATGAGGGAGACGCGCAAGAAAGAAGGCCCAAACAATCATTTCGACAACTGGACAAAATAATAGATTGTCAAGGTCGCCAAGCCTCAGAGGCTCTGCCGACTGATCAGAGATGGTGAGGAATACCAAGCATTCTTGCTGAAGGTCACAGAGCACCTTTGAGATTCCAAGATAAACAGCTAAGAACAAAGCTCATGTTAACTCCGGCACACGCTGCATAGGACACGTGACTGGGCAGCATCCCCAGGGAGCCCGGGCTTCGCGGTGCAGAAGGGACAGCCTAGGCCTGTGCGGTACCAGATCTTCACAGGAGCTAGGACCTGGCAGGGCTCCAGGCTCTGGGTGGCCCAACACCCACACCCGTGCTCCACTCCCTGAGCCCTGGGTCAGCTCCTCACGGCCCGCAGCAGATGGGCCGCTCAGACTGCTCTGCTCTGCGGATTTTTCTCCCGTCTGAAGCGAGTACAACATGTTTCCAAATCTCAACCAGATTTTGAGAAAATAGAAACAGCCAGAGGATTTCTTTGGTGTTATGATTGTACAGTTTCCCAGACTCGGGGGAAAGATGTGATTCCTGCTTTTCTGGCAATCGCATGGCCTATTAATTTTTTCGTAGACTTTCTAGTCTAAATTTAGGGTGGGCACAGAAAGAGCATGCAGAACGGATTCATTTACGTGCTCTGTGTTATAAGGTCTAGAGCTTTCTCTCAGCAAGTCTTCCCCGGTCTGTGGGGGAAGTTAGCAGCAGCGGGGGCAACTGCGGGGCCCCGCAGGCCAGCGGCCTGGGGTGGGAAGACTCTCGTGGGCCCAGCCCTGACAAGAAGTGTGATCTTGGGCATGGTTCACTGGGTCTTAGTTTCCTCTTCAGACGAATAATAGCTTCAGGAGGAACCACTTGCCTGCCTTCTCCAGTCCTAAATTTTTATCAGTTGTTTTTGTTTAGTTGCTAATTGTGTCTGACTGTTTATGACCCCATGGACAGCGCACAACAGGCTTCTCTGTCCTTCCCCATCTCCCCAAGTTGGCTCAAACTCACGTCCACTGTCAGTGATGCCACTATCTCATTCTTTGTCACCCCCTTCTCCTCCTGCCCTCAGTCTTTCCCAGCATCGGGGTCTTTTCCAGTGAGTCAGCTCTACGCATCAGGTGGCCAAACTACTGGAACTTCAGCATCAGTCCTTCCAATGAATATGCAGGGTTGATTTCCTTTAGGATTGACTGGTTGATCTCCTTGCAGTCCAAGGGACTCTCAAGAGTCTTCTTCAGCACCACAGTTTGAAAGCATCAGTAGCTTTTTATCAGTAGCCCTCCGAAAGATGAAGAGCTGTCTGAATGTCCATAGTATTAAATATCTACTCTGCCCTTTAACATTGTGATGCTGTGTTTACAACCAGAGGAGAAGGCCACCTGCCCATGAAGGTGGAGTACCGCCCGCTCAGGATGCTTGTTCTAAAAGAAGTAGCAGAACTGCAGTCTCTCTTGTTCATGAAAGTGACAGGGCCTCTGACTTGTGTGATTTCAGTGTAGTTCAGCTGTGATGTTTCTGAGGTATGTCTGTGCCTAGAGGGGTGTCAGGCAGCGTGGGAACACCACAAGGGAACAGGTGTTGGGGAGGGGAGACACTCGACAAGCTCCCACTCCCTGCAGCTCACACAGCAGACCCGCCGGGATGGGTCCAAGAATCAGCATTTCTGGCAATTCTGCCAGCAGCCCTGAGCCCGCTGCCCTGAGTGAACAACTGCAAGAAGCAGGAACGTTTAGCTTGGGTGGGAGTCAGGGAGGCCCCCGGAGGAGCGGCATCCCGGACAAGGCCCCTGCGGGGGCGGGTATGGGAGAGCAGTGAGCAGGTGGAGCAGCGGGGCCGTGGGAGGAGAGGCGCAGCGCAGCGACGGGGCCTCCCTGGGACAGTGAGGCCCGGGAGGGGTTACGGCAGACGCTGGTGGTTAGGACACTGAGCACGCTTGTGTTTCGGGCTCTGCGTTCGCCGCAGTCTCTCCACCCACCTGCCGTCCCCGCTGTCCGCTCCCGAGGCACAGCCCCCGGCAGCCCCTC